CACCAAAGTCTGTAGCTGTGTTTGTTATGTCCTGCTTAGACCAATTATATGTAGATAAAGTTGGCAGTGCCCTTGTAAACACGTCTCACTATGTCTGATATTGTCACGTGTTTATGGCTCCGTGACCAATAATAATGGTTCTAGAATGGGTGACTGGATTTATTAATACATTCTTTCATAATCATTCGTAATCACAGTCAATTATAATGCTATCACTAATCTACTAACTTCACAAATCACTAGGACACGCTAAGTATTTTCAGTCTTCACTAGTTGTATCCTGGCAACGGATTTATAGCAGTTCCTCTGTAGCTAAAACACACATAAATTCTTCTTTTCGCAGGCTAAGCCCGTTGTACTCCTTTGTACGCCTTCATTTCTCTTTCTCATTCTTCTGACTTCTCTGATCTCACTGCTTAAAGTCAAAGACGGTGCTGACCCCACGGAAAACACCGTCTATCAACCGCTCCATTACTTAGAAATGGACGTTCTGTTGTTCCACGTTACGTTTCTGCAGGAATTTGTTTGGCGACCCGTTGCCTAGCAACAGGCATGCCGCGGCCCACATAGAAAAAATTATTGCAATACCTTTTCTATTGTTGCGTGCTCGTATTTCAGGAGTTGCATAGAATTAGGTCTGCGCCTCAGTGACTCCGGTTTCTGTACGCCGAGCAGTAGCGATAACTTCTTTAACTTCTCTGTGATGCAGTGTAGTCTGACGCTCAAGGGGTCCTTAAATAATAAAGCTTCCGCTTTATTATTTAAGGAGGTGCACCTAGTAGTCATGGTAATAAATGTTCTTGGTCCTTTTCATATTATAGGCCGTGTTATAGACCTGACCTGTGGTTGAGCATTAGAAGGGTCATGGAAAGAAATAATGGGGCAGTGGTTGCAGCTGCGTTGTAAGAGGGAGGGAGGGATGGTGACGCTCTATTTGACTAACCGTTATACACCTTATGATCCTATCTTAGTAGACTCGACCGAATCGATTGCGCATTTTGCTGAGAGCGGTCGTGTCTCGAGAATAACGACAGTAACAACTTGAAATCTCGGCGAAGCCCCCCCCCCCCTCTTAAAAAATGAAAATTTTTATTACGATATCGTTGGTTCCTTGATATCTTCAAATGGTCGTAATTTGATTACCAGCCGGAGCGCTGAGACTTTTATCTCTACAGTCATTTGGATAACGGCTGTGGGGCCCGCCCTACTTTTTAAATGGGGCCCGTGTTCTGCTGCCAATTGATTAGATTGTGAAATGGACTCATTACTGACGACCCTCGGCGGCTTATTGTTAATGTTGGCACTATTCGGATGTAAACAGTATTACTGACGTTTCGGAGAAACATGCTACCTCCATCATCAGGGTCGAAGTAAGTAGAATTAGTGAGGGCATATATCTTCGACCCAGCAGACCCAAGGGGTATTAATGGGGGTTGGTGCTCAGCCCCTGGACAACAGCGACAGCGAACCAATACCTATACAATATATATATATATATATATATATATGAATGCGCACCCTACTCACTTTAAGCCAGATGACTGAGGCAGTATACACCTCCGAAACATCGGTAAGAGCAGAATATTTTGCGGCGTAACGTTACTGTGTTTGGTGCTTAGATGACTGGAAGTGAAAATGAATGACTAATGGGATAAACCTGAGATAAAAATGTTCTGGACTATGACACCATGCAGTTTGGTAGCTAGGCAGCGAACATTCTGAAAGGAATTCTGGTTCCAGCTTCTACCAACCCCCCGAGATGTGCAACAGTCATGACCACGGTCTGGGTATTTAAGTTAGAGGTCTTCATCTCAATGCAGTCCCTGAATAAGGAGGCAGCAGGTTACTCCGACCTTGGGATCCATCTACCAGACAAAAAGGTGTGGCTGTATATATATATTGTAGCGCGTAGAGCCGTTACTATGCAACGGCCGCAAGTTAGTTGCAGGAGTGCTCAGTTGGTAGTCAGATGGTGAAGAGAATACTTCATGTGTGACATTTTGAAGGGTGTAATTTAGCGAGATGGTTATAGTTCCAGTGTTAAAATCCGTTGCCAGGAAACGGCTAGTGGAGACTGTAATAGTCTGAGGACACTAGTTTGTGTATGGCAGTGATCTGTAAGGTGTAGTCACGCGTCGTGAGTTTATAAGCGGTCAATACATCGAGTCACCAATCCAAACCCCGTCTATAGTCACTCATACACGTTGTTGCTGCTGCTGCCGCGTTTTTTGACATCAATCACAAAGCAGCTTCTGACCGTTCACGTTTTGGATCGTTTGTTGAATTATTTCCTTTTAAGAAACAGTGCTGTATCAACTGCATAGGTTACGTTTTAATGAATGGTAACATATGTCGTGATCCAGTGATTAGTGCCACTTCTTATTCAGGGTCCTGGGTTAAAATCTCAGCTTTGAGGCCTTATGTATTGACTTTATTCATGGTTCCTCTCAGGCTCTCCAGCCAACTGTCTGGATAGTACATAAAGTAAGTCACGGCCACTTCCTTCCAATTTATCTACAGTTTGAGCTACTGAGAGCTCGTAAATAAATCATAAATACATAAATAAATAAACAGATAACACAGTATGGATGATGGCCATTTCTGATACATAATCCCGGTCGGGAGGGAGAGGGAAGATTCGAGATAAATCTCAATCATGAGAGCCGGCCGCTGGGCCACGATTCGAACTGTGGTACTCCCGCGTAAACATAGTGGGAATTCTAACAACTGTATCTCAGTATTAGATTCTGTGTAGAATAAATGGAATGTGTGGACGTGATCGTGTATGACAGGATTTCGGAGGACCCATCCACCGCCACTCGTCATGAGTTCCTCTCTGTTCGCGATATATCGACTTTCACTTCGAGATCATGTTGCGTTCATTCTGCAAGGCTTCCGGGATCTCGGCAGATATGAACAAATACGATCAAGGAGAGTTGTAAAGTCGTGTAGTTTGGTAGAAGTCCACCGAATTCTCGGAGTAAGTTATCGCCTGCATCTTCAGGGTCTAAGACAAGAGAGAAACCAGCTTTTTATTACTGGCTCTTCTTGCTGCCTGTTCATTATTGGTTTCTTGCTTGGATCACTTATACACCATGAAGATGGAGGTGATAAATTACTCCGAAATGTCGGGGGCTTATACTCAACTATACAGCATTACAACCCAGTAGATTGTACTCTACAAAGTTACAACAGTGAATGCCTCAAATCCCATATGCCGGCACTTTCACTGGTGTCACTGTTATTTTCGCCTATGTAACATATTAAATTTAATATGAAACCAATCGATACAAAGTGCAAATTTAATCAATAAATTAATTATTCTATCACACATGCTTCGGTTGTTCTACCATCCTAAGGGGTGCCCTCAAAATTTGAAAGTTTTAATGTTTTTTTTTAATATATATTTTATTTTACTTTTCTCTCCAGCGTCCAGACCGGCTCTGGGGCCCATTCAGTCTCTAATCAAATGGGTACCGGGGACTCCTTCCCCGGGGGTAAAGCGACAGGGGCGTGAAACTGACCACTCACCTCCATCTAGTACAGAGATCAAGAACTGGTGGACGTACACCTTCATTCTCCCATACGTCTTCATGATGTGTGATCAGTTAAGCACAGGGACAACTTTATCTTTTACGTTTATGACTGATTTTAAAAAGTATTGCACATTTTCACAGTTCTTGTCTAAAATACTTAAATACAATAAGTCATGACCCGTGACTATAAGTGCAAGTAATATATTGACTGATTTGCTACTTGCGTAAGTGTTTGCATTTCAGTATTTTTTAAATGAAACATTTAATGCTTGTTGAAGCTGGTGATGTGAGAGGCCTCGAGCTGTGCAACTTAAATAATTTTAAGACTGATTGATATCTTCGAGGATGCTTGAACGGCCGAAACCTGTAGGACGGAATCAACTCTTTATCTGTTAGGTTTCTTATTAAGTTGACTATCTAGATGTAAATTACACTTTTGAAATGCAATTCTGCAGGGAAGGCCTATTCAGCCTCACGCGCGCTCTCTCTGTCGCACGCACACACACACGAAAATATGGGTAGCTACTGATAAGTGATAAAGTGTACAAGAATATGGAATAGTGTCTCAAAGACCAAGGAGAGAACACCAGATAGTACATATCCTAAAAGTATCGCCTAGTCTCCATATTTTCGTAGGGGGTGTCTAACTGAAAGACACACAGTTTGATATTAAATCGTGAAATTGAAGTTACGAAGCCTCGGTCCATTAATTTTGTTACACAATTAAATGATAGTGGTAGCAGTAGTTGTAGTAGTAGTACTTCCGTCTGAAGGGAAATTAAAGAAGTAAATTGAGGAATTTGAGTGTTTTACAACAATAGTTATGCAGAGCTTTGTCTTCTGAGATATAACGCCGTGCTTTACGGTGAAAGTCAAATGACGTTTCGGAGGAACATATAGCCTCCATCTTCAGTGTCAACGAATAAGCCAAGAAAGAAAACAGCATGAAGCAGGCATCAGACTTTGTTTCTTGCTCGACCTACTCCTCTTCTCTGAAGATGGAGGCGTTGTGTTCCTCCGAAACATCCGTTGACTTTCACCGAACTACAATGTGTTATGTGCCAGGAGACAAAATTGTACAAAGAAGGAAATATTTTGAAATTATAAAAAAATTTCCTTTTTGTAAATCACATGTTCATTTCAGGACTAGACTGTATTCAGTGAAGAGAAATAGTAAGTACTCATTTGTATAGCAGACAAAGGGTGTCTTAGAGATATTAATGGACAGGGATGAACAAACCCTTTCCCTCAACATGAGAGGTCAGACCACAGGCGCGCGGAGCACCACCCACGTCTCAAACAGATACAGGGAGTTTCATAACCTAGTGCCGGATTATTGATATGTTCTGTGAAACTGTTCCAAATTAATCGGACAGGTGTGGCCCACTCTGCAAGCGGTTTTATATTCATTTATTTAGATAATACAAACACGATGTGTGAGAAGACAGTATGAATTCGTGTTACCTCTCTTGCCATCACGGCATGTCCTCGCCGCCGTTGTGGGGCGAGTGCTGACGTCCCGCCTCGTAGGGGCAGGCTTCAGCAAGCGCTGGGTACCCGAGCCTCCGCCAGCTTGAGAAGGCGACAGCGCCACTTGAAGGCAGCCACCACCAAGCACACAACACCAACACCAACACCACCACCACAGCACACAAACAAACCCCCAACCCCCCCACAAAGCAATCCTTCCTCACCAGAACCACGGTTGGGGTTCCAACAAACCGACACACATTCAAACACGCACTTTTTTGGGCCCCTTCCCTCGCAGCACGCGCGGTCACGCACTTTTAATCCATCATTGCAATCGTTCTCCGGACTCTGTTACCTTCATACTGAAAAAAATTGGTGGAGGTGGAAAGGGTTGCGTTAACAGTAGCCGCGCCGCGAAGCAGGCAACCCTGCTTGCGATCTGCTGCGGCGAGTTGCCTGCCATCTACCGGGCGATCGATTGGTGGTTGTGTTGTAGCTACTCTCGGTAAGACTGCTCAAAGAGCTTACTCGCTGCGCCTGTGCAAGTTGTAGAAAAACCGATGTTGCCGATTCTTCAACAAGAATTGCATATTCTGAGTTTGTCCCCTACGTAATCCCTGTTCATTTTTCGGCAACGCATTTCTGGAATATTTTGAACAGAAGTTTTCTCCTATGGCAGCTATAGACACAGGATTTTTGTTTTTAATTTGTAACCTGCAGCTCGTGTTCCCTCACCCCCTTGTAGCGCCACACCCACCGTATTCGCGGGGGCGGGCACGTGATGTTACGCACCTTGGAGGCGACATAACCTCGTCTTACTGTTTCGTTATTTCATTTTATTTTCAAGAGATATGCCTGCTATCATCAATGTCTTTGAAAAACCGCCTGGAAAAATTTTTGCTCGAGTCTTTCTCCCCCCCCCCTCAGATTTTTCTTCGCTAATAATAATTCCACAGTTTTTCCACACTTATCTGTCACCGCCCCAGAGGTGTGCAATAACCCTGACAAGCAGCGCATTATCACATCTTCGGTCTTTATATTAGGGGCTTCGTTTCTGATCAGAACTTGGCTGCTTACAGATTATTTCGTTAAGTAATTTGACCAAAACTAAGAACATGCTCCTCAACGATTCCGCGCTGCCAAAGATCTAAATCGCAAAGGACATACTAACTAATCGCAAGGAGCGGAATTCGTCTAGAGATGCTCTTCTTAAGTCTCTTGAAACCGAAGACCTCCAGTCAGATTTACACATTTTTTGTTATATGGGAGTCGGCGTAGCTCAGTCAGTACAGTGACTGGACTACTGTCTGGACAACCGAGTAAGGGAAAGACATTTTCTTTTCCCCGCGGTGCTTAGACCGGCTCTGGGGCCCACCCAACATCGCAGTCAGTGGGTACCGAGGGCTCTTTCAGTGGGGCAAAACAGTCGTGGCATGAACCTGACGACTGCACCTAGTGCCCAGGTTAAAAATTCGTGGAGCTTTACCTCCACTCCCACATACGCCTTCATAGCATGGTGAGGTAAAGAAGGAGTTGTTCCCGTGCTTAACTAAGTAAGCACTATGCAATGAAAATGTATCGGTGGATGGATGTATACATCCACGTATTCTTGACCTTGGCACTAGTTGAAGGTGAGTGGTCAGCGTCACGTCCCGGCCGCTTTACCCCCGAGGAAGGAACACCCCGTACCCATTGGATAGGAGGCTGTGAGGACCACAGAAGCGGTCTGGACGACGTCGAGTGAAGAAAAATCTTGCCTCTACCGGGACTCGAACTTAACCCCTCAGCCGTCCAGCCCGTAGCAAGTCTGCTCTGCCATAGTGTGGTGCTTAATTAAACACTGGGGCAGTTTTTCCATTACTATTCGCTGGTACAAATAGTTCTGCTGGAAGTCGGAGGCGGTGCTTCGGTGCCTCCAGTCAGTATCACCGCACCGTTTGGTGATGCGGGAGGGTGGGTCCGAGTGCAAGAAGTTGGTACTTCAACTCGCTTTCAGTCGGCGATCTCCAATTACAGCCGACAGGATACAATGTACAGTTCGTGGAGACAGTTGTGCTGAGGATTTGCTCTCGTTAGATCTTGTAATGGAAATTTCGGCCTACAGGTTAGAAATGTGGGGTTCAAATTCTACGATGGGCCGATACACTTGTGCTTATTTCAGACAAAATATTAATTCTAAAACAAGATTTAAACGCGATGGAGTTAAAGTAGCTCCTTCTTTCAGACCATTCTGAAGAGCAGACATATCAGATAAAGGTTTGTCTACGCGAAATTTACTGTAGACTTCGTTTAAACACATTGTAATTTGATTAATTAGTGTATCACACACTTAATTAGAATGTTGTACAGCACTTCCTTCCTTACCGAATCGTAGGCTTTCTTAAAGTATAAATGTCTTTATTGTGGGGGCACGCGGTAGCGTAGTTGGTTGAGGCACTATGCTACAAACCGGAAGGTCACGGAATCGAATCCCGATGAGGTCATTGGATTTTTTTCAATTTACATAATCCATCCAGCCGCACTATGGCCCTGGAGTCGACTTAGCCTCTAACAGAAATGAGTACCAGGAATATTCTTGGAATATTCTTGGAATGTTCTTGGGGGTAAAGGTGGCCGGCGCGTAAGGCTGACAACCTTACCGCCATCTATGAGTCGATTGTCTAGAAAATATGGGAACCTCAAGATCTCACAACCCTATGGGCCTCCGCGGCCTGTTACAGGGATACCTTTACTTTACTTTACTTATTTACTTTATATCTTATTGTACTCCCATTTCTTTGATAGTTGGTTGAGGCACTATGCTACAAACCGGAAGGTCGCGGGTTCAAGTCCCGATGAGGTCATAATATTTCCAATTGACCCAATCCTTCCAGCCGCACTATGGCCCTAAGGTCGACTCAACCTCTATCAGAAATCAGTAACAGGAATAGTCTTGAAATATTCTTGGGGGTAAAGGGCGACAGAGGTGTAAGGTTGACAACCTTGCCTCCATCTATGAGCCGATTATCTAGAAAATGTGGCCGCGCCATAGCTCAAGCGGTTAGTCGCTGACTTCCCACCACGGCGGCCGGGGTTCGATCCCGGGTCTGGTCAAGTGGGATTTGTGGTGGACAAAGTGGCGCTGGGGTAGGTTTTCTCCGAGTACTTCGGTTTCCCCTGTCAATCTTCATTCCACCAATTGCTCCACAATCACCCTCACCTATCATCTGAGGCTGGTACAATAGGCCAGAAGTGGCTGCAGTGCAAGGGACTTAGTCCCACCTCACTAGCAATAAAGAAAATCTAGAAAATGTGGGAACCTCAACATCTCGCAACCCAATGGGCCACCACGACCTGTTACAGGGATACTTTTACTTGCTTACTATACTTTTTTTTACTCTCATTTCTTCCAGATTTTCTGTCGAAATGAAAACAAAGAAATACAAATAAATCTAAACAGTAGTTGGCCTATTGTTTCGAAATCCACGTTGATGGCTTCCAATAATTTCGCCGACACATGGAGTTAATCTTGATATTTGAACATTGGATGACATTTTATACGAAACTGGTAACTGTAACATGCCATGATAATTACTGCAGTCAGTTTTATCTCCGTTCTTGTGAACAGGCACAAGAGTAGGCTCCTTGTACTGCTGACGCAATTCTTCCTTATTCCAAATCACGAGTTTATGGATGTAAGGACACAATGCTTCACCTCCTATTTCAATAAATTTTACTGCCGTATCAGTACCTGGCGATTCATACTTTTCAACTTTTTAACAGCAGCCTCAACCTCAAAAAGACTAGGCTCTGGTACTAATGACTCAACTGTATTTCTATCTGCCTAACACCACTAACCCCAATTACATTCATTTACCGAGATTCTTTAAACCCTAAAGAAATATTGTGGAATCTCCAAACATATAACAGTTTTCTTCTGCTAAGTAACTTCTAGGTTGGCAACACTTCTCAAATGCACTTCTGAATATCTTGCATAATTAAAAATTCGCGTAATTAAAGACACGTTTCGAAACAAATACGTGATTCTTGCAGAATTTTTGGGGATTCGCGTTATACGAAACTTTGCACATAAAGCGGTTCCCACAACGCTATAGTTCATCCAGTCATTGATTGACTATAAGCAAAAAGAATGCTCATGCACACTTTTATTCAATTTTGGGCCGCGCCATAGCTCAAGCGGTTAGTGTCTGACTTCCCACCGCGGCGGCCCGGGTTCGATCCCGGGTCTGGTCAAGTGGGATTTGTGGTGGACAAAGTGGCGCTGGGGCGGGTTTTCTCCGAGTACTTCGGTTTCTCCTGCCAATCTTCATTCCACCAAATTCTCCATCATAATCACCCGGTGCAGGGTACAATAGGTCAATCAGTGGCTGCCGTGCCGAGTGCACCCAGTCGGGCTCAACCCCCNCCCACTAAGCGAATTAAAAAAAATGTATTAAATTTTATTAAACGCGCAGGAACATCGCATCTCTACATCGCTCTACATAATCTTACAACCGTGTGCATATTAGTCTAGCAAATGTTCGACCATTGCTCGTGCCTGCTCGTGACGTCATCGCCCTCGAGCTCTCGAAGCAATCGAATGTCTCGCTTAGTTTTCACGTTCGTATCTCATGTAGGGTTATGTTCTGTTTTTGTGCATGGCCTGTTAAGACAGTTGGAATATAAATAAGTTAATAATATAATGATACGTACATTTCCATCTTGTTTGAAACATTGAACGGAGGATCATGTGTGGGCAATATTTGTAGCGTCAAGTAAAACCAAATGTAAAATAATGTGAAAAACAGTAAGTGAAATGAAGATCCTGAATGGGTCGTTTTGTGGGAGTACTTTTAATTAATATAAACAGGTACGTGCGTAAACTTTTCATTCCTTTCCGCGTAGATGAAACAGTTTATAGTTACATGTCATAAGTTTACTATATTATATTTAGGCATCCTGTTGCACTATGCACGTCTATATGTAATAATACAAATGCCGTCGTGAATGCAACAATTTATTTGGTTGTAGATCTTTGCCTTTTCTTCCTCTACACTACATGTTTCGGCCGTAATTGGCCATCATCACGTGTATTTTTCACTACGTAGCTGTCACACTGCACACAGTCCAAAATCTAAAACATCAGCCTGTCAGTTTTGTTTTAAAATCTCGCCAACACACGCTCGTCAATTTGATTTTAGAAATTTCAAATTTTAAACTGGAATTCTAAAATCAAATTGACGGGCGTGTGTTGGCGAAATTTTAAAACAAAACTGACAGGCTGATGTTTTAGATTTTGGACTGTGTGCAGTGTGACAGCTATGTAGTGAAAAATACACGTGATGATGGCCAATTACGGCCGAAACATGTAGTGTAGAGGAAGAGAGGACAAAGATCTACAACCAAATAAATTGCTGCATTCACGACACCATTTGTATTATTGCATATAGAACATGTCATAAGCTTTATGTACCTCTACTTGAATATATATAGGTCACCAGTTTCTGCCATAGCACTAGGCCTTCGGCATGATCCGCATCAACTTGAAGGTTGTACTGTTGCTGTGTGCTGCAGTAGTTGTCGTAACACTGTCATTATGGACACGCTGTGGCGATGTTATGTTGGCGAGTAGGAATCGCAAGAATGGTGGTCAGGGTGCAGAATGGGACACCGGTAACAAGAAGATGCCCAGTGGGCAGGTACTTTATATAACATGCTTTGTGTAGAAATTATTGAATGTAGTATTATAGCCTAGGAATGGATTATGTGTATTTATCTGATCTGATTCTTCAGAAATTGTACTTGAATTTAATGTGTCGGTAATCTTCATTATAATCTTCAGGTAATGAGATGATGGAAGAAACTTCAGATAGGTTTACATTATGGTGACCACATTATACTTGCAAATGAATTTGTACTTTATTGGCTGAGTTCTTATTTCTACAGCTTTATTGAGACTGGCAGATGATAATGCAGTGTTTCTGGTGCCATGTATTTGTTACAAGGAAAATAACACATTGGACACTTAGTACAGTAGCATAGCTATTTATCAGCTTGGAAGAAATAGATTTAAAATTACAGATTTTGTCACTTTGTTTTGAGGTCTCACTATCAGTTTATTTCATATTTGTAGAAAATGCTTGAATTGTGGTATGTTAATTGTCATGAGGAAGGTGGGGTTCATATGGCCAAAGATTTAGTAGTGAACCTTTAGGGAATCTCTTGACTGGCTATGTGACCAGATTTGTATATAGGTAATGCTGAACAAAGTAGGTAATTCCCTCACTTCCAATTTTGTAATAATTTTGAGTGAGAAGCAAGGGCTGATTGTTTTTTACAAAGATGCCATATGTCCATTTTAAACTGTTTTTATTTGTATAAATACCATGTTGAATAAAAAATAATTATGTAATAGTCAGTTCAGTTCCATAAATTTTCTTCTTCCAGCATATCTCAATTAAGTATATAAATATTCATATTGACACATGTTCAGTGACTAAACATGGGGTTTGGATTGGTCAGTGGATTTATTGGACTGTTACACAACTCACTACACTTCACAAATCCATAGTATGCATACTTCTGTTCTCAGTTATTCAAGGGTTCACTATACATAGTTTCGCTACTGTCCTCACAAGGCGTTTCTATATAATGGCTGCTAAAAATTGTGAATCTCCCACTTCTATGCCCATGCCTACACCGAGGGGCGACTGTCTCCCAACAGCCTCGGACTTGGCCTGACTAACTTTGGTTAACTTCAGTTAAGTTGCTGCTGGCCCTCACCAGCACAGTAATTCTTGGATTTGAGTCCCATCAGAATCCATGACCATATTTTTCTCATTCCCTATCAACGGCCATCTCCTCTGGCTCTACATTTATGGCTTTGAGTGGGCATGCCACAATATTTTGTAACTGGGGAGATTACCAGCCAATCCACGCAACCCACAGCCTGTAGGGTCTGGGCATTGCTCTTCTTCTGGCACCTGCCTCTCTGCTTATCTGGGAAGGGAGACCCTACTAGCAGCTGCACTGTTGCTGTCATAACGTGTGAGATTTTCAGTGCTGACAACCCCCACCATGATAAGGTGTGACTGCTATTGAGAATGTCTGGTCTAGTGGTCAGAGGTCCTGGGTTCGATTTCTGGCGCTACCAGATTTTCTGAGAAGTAGTTGGTGTGGAATGGGGTCCACTCAGCCTTGTGAGGATAATTGAGGAGCTATTTCAAGGAATTCTGGTCTACAAAACCGAAATCAATGGCTGTGGGGATCCGTTGCGCTGACCACATGACACTCTCTATCTGCTAAGTTTGGCACCAACTTCGCCGACAAGAGGTGGTCCCTCGGTCGGTATAATTTGCTTTCGGACTAAAGCCATGGAGTTTGTATCATATATCTATGAATTAACATATGGATACATCCTTTGTGTGCATGATAATTGTTAATTGATAGTTCAGTTCAGGAGTCAGGATAGTGCAGTCAGTATAACGCCTAGCTATAGGTTGGACAACTGAGGGGTTAGAGTTCAAGTTCCAGTAGGGGCAGGATATTTCTCCTCCCCGTGTTATCCAGACTGGTTCTGGGGCCCACACAGCCACCTATCCAATGGGAAGCAGGGACTCTTTCCCTGGGAGAAAATCAGCCAGGTTGTGAAGCTGACCACACACCTCCACCTAATGCCAAGTTCAATAATACCTGAATCTATACAGCCATTCCCCCATATGTCTTCATGGCATAATGCTTAATTAGTTAACACAGACTCAACTTTATTTTAATTAACTCATTTCACTTTGTTCCATTTCAAATTACCACAGAATCTTTCAGTGTCTGGTTCTTGACTCAGTTATACTTGGATAATTGATCTGAAAGGAAGCTGTTACCAGGCACAGTGGCTAAGGCTGTACCACTAACTAACTAACTTCATGGAGCTGAGCCCTTCTTCAGAAGTTGCCAGTTGTGCAGCTATTCAAGAACTTCTCAGCATTTTATGGAACCCGAAGGTTCATTACCATGTTCACAATAGCCCTTCACTGGTCCCTATCCTTAGCCAGATCAGTTCAGTCCATACCACCCCATCCCATCTCTGTAAGACCCATTTTAATTTTATCCACATACCTATGTCTTGGTCTTCTTAGTGGTCTCTTTCCTTCTGACTTTCCCATCAAAATCCATTATGCAGTCCTCTTCTGCCCGTGCGTGCTACATGCCCTACATATGTCATCGTCCTTGACTTGATCATTCTAATTATGCTTGGTGGAGAGTACAAGTTATGAAGCTCCTCATAATGCAGTTTTCTCCAGCCTCCTGTCACTTCACCTCTCTTCGGTCCAACTATTCTTCTCAGCACCTTATTGTCTAAGAAGCTGTATTTGCCGGTTGCTTGATTTGAATCTCAGCAGGGAAACTGACTATCCTGATAAGGTGTTTATGGTTTTTCTCACTTTCTCAATTCAGGGGCAGAGAGTTTTCTCTTTTCGCCATGTCTACACGAGCTCTCTAGAGGATTCTGGGAACTCTTTTCCTTAGGGCAAAGCTCCTTGCCTACCTCCATCTAATGCCAACGTCATTGCATGCACTTATGCTTCTGCTTCCCCATATGTCTTCATGACATGGTTCTTAATCATATAAGCACAGGGACAACTTTACTTTTATTCTTTACACTTTAAATTATGCCTCAACCACTTTCTTCCACATCATTTCCAATCCTTATTTACTACCGTTCCATCATTTGATGGTCTATAGTCTGAGTTAACGGTGTTGGTTAATACACAGAGATATTGGGTTTTTGGACTTTATCCATCGTCTTGGTTTTTAAGATAACTAACTGTGATTGATGCTAGCTCTTTCTAAGGGACCCAACAGAATAGGTGTTTTTCCCTCACCAGAGGACGGAAACAGATCCAGTTTCCGAAACGTCGTGTTTTTATTAGTTATCTTAAAACCCTGGACAATGAATGGATAAAGTCCAAAAACCCAATATCTCTGTGTGTTATACACCATCATCAGAATCCTATAGTAACTAAGTGTTGTTAATGCAGCTACAAATCTAAATTATCTGCCAGGCATAGTTTGATGTTCGTGTGGTTATAGTACAGCCATGTAAAGATAAAATGTTGTCTATATGCTTAATTGATTAAGCACCACACCATAAAGATGTATTGGGGAATAGATGTATAGATCCACAGATTTTTGACATTGGGATATTGGTTGGAGGTGAGTGATCAGCTTCACACCCTGGCCACTTTACCCTGGGGGAAAGAAACCCCTGTACCCATTGGATAGGAGGCTGGGTGGGCCTCATCTGGTCTGGATGACATGGAGAGGAGACAAATCTTGTCCCTGTCAGGACTCAATCTCCAACCCCTAGGTCATCCAGCCGTTAGCCTGTTTCTATACCAACTGCGCTGGCTCCCAGTACAGACATGCATGATATTAGATTTGACACTTTTCATATTAAATTTGACTTTGAAAGGTTAAACTGATGCTTAACTATTCTTTACAGGATGCATATGGTGGAGATGGCATAGAACATGGGGGCAGCAGTGATTTGCAAGGATATGAAGAAATTGATTGCAATATCAATGGAGAATACAGCATAGGTTGTCGCAAGGAAGGAGGAGAAATATATATGCCATTCTCTTTTTTACATAAGTATTTCGAGGTATGTTATGTTGAAATTGACCTTCTTCATTTTAAACATTCTTTTCTTGTAAAGCAATTAATTCAGGGTTGTTTTCATGTAATGGAGTAAACATTGTCATTCAACATCAGTGACTTGTAGTATTTGAGGTTCTGAATATTTAGATATCATAGATTTGGCAAAGTTGAAATACTTGGGAGTCACAACAAGAAGTCAGAATTACATATATGAAAACTTCAGAGCAGATTAAATATGCGAAATGCTTGTCACCATTCAGTTCCATAATCTTTTGCCTTCCCATATTCTTTCCAAAAATCTAAGGTTTGAAATCTGTGCAAATATAATTTTATCTGTTGTTTTATGCAGACATGAAACTTGATTTCCCACATTAGGGGGAGAACATGGACTGAGGATGTCTGATAACAGAGTACTGAGGAAAGTGTTTGGACCTAAGAGGGAGTAAGTAACAGGAGGCTGGAGAAAAGTACATGATGAGGAACTTCACAATCTGTACTCCTTGATAAATATTATTAGGACAAACAAATCAGGAGGATGAGATGAATGGAGCATGTAGAATGCATGGAATAGAAGCTAAATGCATATGCAATTTTGATAGGAAAATGTGAAGGAAGGAGACTATTTGGAAGACCTGGTATACGTGGGAGGATAATATTGAAATTGATCTTATGGAACTAGGTTTGGAAGGGCATGGCATGGGTTTATTTTGTTCAGGTTAAGGCCTAATGTTTGGTTCTTATGAACATGGTAGTAAACCTTGGGGTCAGTAAAATACTGGGAATTTCATGGCTAACTGAGCAGCTTTGAAAGAAGGATTCTGTTGCGAGTATTTTTTGTAGTCCTGTTAGTAGCTAAGTAGTCAGCCGGCAGTCCTATAAAGCGAATGATATGGCATTGAAATCGCAGTACAGTGTTCTGTTCCAGGTGTATGGGAAGTTAGCCACTTATGATGGCTATGAAAGGTTTGAATGGTCTCACAGCTATTCCAAAGTGTATTATCCAAAAGGAAAATATGACCCCCGTGGCATATTTATGTACTTTGAAAACTACAATGTCGAAGTGCGAGACCGTGTGAAGTGTGTCAGTGCAACAGAAGGTAAATACGTGTTTTTGTATTTCTTAAATGCATGAAGTAAAGAGTAACGTCTCTACCTGTACTGTGACATTTCAGATTGGGATAGCTCACTTGGTATAGTGACATGCTATGGGCTGGTTGGCTGGGGTTTAATTCTCTGGCACGTACAAGTTACTTCTCTTCACCATAGTGTCCAGTTTGGCTCTGGGGCCTACCCAGCCTTCTATCCAACAGGAAAAGTAGTGGAAAGTGGAAAGCTGACCACTCACTTCCATCTAGTGCTGAGGGCAACAGTGGTGGATCTGTGCCTCCATTCCCCCAAATGTCTTCATAGCACAGTCCTTAATTACTTGGACACAGGGGCAACTTTGCCTTTACCTTTATGTATTGTAGTTGTGGTAAAGTGAAAGAGTACTGTGATGGGAAGTTATGTTCCTGTGTTTGATCCATCCTTTCATCTCTCATTTTATGGTACATGATTGTTCATCTATTCCCGAAGTCTTTGTCTTGGCTGTTTTTCCTTTTACTTTCAGGTTAAAACCTGCTTCGGGATTCTGTCTTGATTCATTCTTAAAATGTGCTAAACTCTTTTTTTTTTCTTTATTTGTTAATTTATTGCCCTATGTATTTATCTTTAAATTTCTCCAATTATTTTATTTCTTGTTCTCTCTCTCCTAGCTTGTCCTCCTTTACTTCTCAGAAATCTTGTCTCAGCTGCTGTCAATTCACTGATATCTGCCTTTGCCCATGTCAATGTTTCTGCCCCATGTGGTCATGTAGTATTTTTTAAATGAACACATTTTTTCCCATGTATGGCATTTCCAATTTTGAAATTAAGCAGCAATATCCTTCCAGCATTTCTTTCTGCCACACAACCATCTGTGAGGTGACTGTGTAGAAAATGTGGGAACCTTGACATCTCACAACCTTATGGACCTCCACGGCATCTTACAGGGATGGCTTTAACTTTATATTTTACTGTTTAAATAAAATGTTCCTTGATGTCATTAATAACACCATAAGGCTCCTGAGACCTCATACCAGAAAAGTGTCAAGTATAAACATTAGGAGCAATCATATATCCACATATGAAGGTTGTTCAAAGAGAACCTGTTCAGGATTGTTCTGTGCAAAGGAGAAGACACTGTTGTAAATAGTCACGATGGACACTGAGGCGATCATCCTATTCATGAAACAACCAGTAGATACAAGTAGTTACTATAGGATTCTGACGATGATGTATAACACCCAGAGATATTGGGTTTTTGGACTCCATCCGTCGTCCTGGTTTTAAGATATGTAGCTGATTCCAAAAGTAAGGTCTCCAAAGCGCTGGGTAATTTTTCATGAGGCTGTTGGCAACCCTGTTGCATTCGTTGCTTCCCCCACTCCCCCCAATACCACCAAGCATGCGCGCACGTAGCTAGGACGCTCAGTCTTGGCACGGTTGCTGTTAGAAATGGAGATCCCGATTACTAAAACCGCGAAGTGTGAGATTCGCGCAGTTATTCGGTTTTTGAACGCAAAAGGGACTAAACCAATTGAAATTCATCGTCAATTGGTGGAAGTGTACGGCGAGTCATGCATGAACATAAAGAACATCCGCAAGTGGTGTAGGGAGTTTGAATCTGGTCATACTGCAATACACGACGAAAAAAGAACTGGGAGACCGTCAGTTTCTGACAAGACAGTCGCGAAGATTGAGCGAGTCATGCGTCAGGATAGGCACATCACACTCGATGATCTCTGCATTTCGGTTCCCTAGGTTTCCCG